TTGGATTTTTTGAGCGGTAAGTGCTTGGCATTATCTCCATGATTGGTATTAGTTTATAAAATGGAGGGTGCTTCGGCGACAGAGTTGAGCAGTGACCCGGGTGGCGCTGAGGATAGCTTTTATGACTCAAATGCGTCTCTTGAGGGCCTACCAAATCCAAAAAGGCGAAGGCATAGGAAAAATAGAAAATTGAAGATAGATGTAGAAGAGGCTAAGAAATTGCCCGAGATGCAGGGTATGTTGGTCCCTAAGGGCACCTCTGTGCGAGACGTTCTTGCGAAGAAGGGAAATACGATGATTGTATCCAATACAGAAATTAAAGACAATCTCGTTTTGGAAGCTGCTGGTACAGACAAAGTTGTGCAAAATGGTGGTGCTACTAGGAAAATTCAGAGTAACGTAACCTCAAATGCAGTGGTGGAAAGTGAGGTTGGCAGCAGTGATGTACGAGCTAACCCGACTTCGCCAGTTATGGCGGGAGTGTCGGGCGACGCCGAGCGCGTAGTTGTTGGCAACGTAACCTCCAATATTGAAGGCTTGAGTATGGGGCAAGGAGAAAATTTTGTACAGAGCGGTAGTGGTTTGGGTTCTGGGGTGGTTCCTAATAAGGAGGGAATTATGTTTCCAGCGGATTACAGGGGAGTGGTTGCTGTCCTCTTGGACACATCGCAATGACAATTGTTCGCGAATAATAATATGAAAAATGGTGTATTCCTATGGAACTAGGCCTGGGTAACGGCGCAAATTTTTTGGCTCTGACACACTAACTCCAGCGCCACTGTCGGAATCAGCACAGTGTGTTGGCGCAATTGCGCCTCTTCAGGCTAAAGCTTATTTCCTTTATTGCTGCACGTTGCACCAAAGTGAATTAATACAAGGTTATATCGGTTGAGAAAAAACTCAAGTATACCCAAGTTCAAAACCCAAAAATACAACAAACCCATCATTTTCACATTCAGAAGGACCGCGACGAATTCTAGCTGTGCTGCACATTTTACAAGAGACACTTCTATTTCGGGTGTTCTTTGCGACACCCGCTGTTGTCAGTGTTCCGGTGTTGAACTAAGGTGAATTAATACAAGGTGGTATCGGTTGGGCAAAAACAAGCCAAGTTCAAAACCCAAAAATACAACAAACACATAATTTTCACATTCAGAAGGACCGCGGCTAATTTTAGCAGCACCACCTTGTAAAAATTCGCCTTGTGCTGCACATTTTACAAGTGTCACCTCGTTTTGTGTGTTCTTTGCTGGTTCCTTGCGCCGCCCGGTGTTGTTAGTGTTCCGGTGTTGCTGGCGCCATTGCGTCACAGAGTTGCGAAAATCGGTATCGGCGCCAGTAACTCAACTCTCGGTATCAGCACAATGGTGCGGCGCCGCACTGTGTTACCCACGGCTATATGGAACAAAATCAATCACTTTTGTATAGAGGGTGTTGATGAGGTACGAGCAGTCGGTAGGACGCTTTATAAGATAGTTTCTCTATCTGTGAAAGCTGCAAATGAATGTTTGAATAATGTAAATCTTATTAGGGCCAACATAAGACCCTTCATCCCTAGATCCTTTGTTGAAACTTGTGGGGTTGTGCGGTATATACCAGAGGCTATGACTGATGTGGAGATTCTGGAAAGCATCAAATCTGATATTAAAGTGACTGCAGTGTATAGGCTAAAGAGACGGGATAGAGAGGATAGGAACAAATTTTTAACCACTCAGACGGTGAAACTAACCTTTGGAGGTAACCAGTTGCCTGATAGTGTGCAAATCTACTTCACGTGCTGTAAGGTATTACTGCACGTTAAGCAGTGTTACAATTGTGGCCGTTTGGGGCATACGCGACTTGGGTGTAGGTCCAAAACTCGGTGCATCATGTGTGGGATTGAGGGTAAGTGTAATGAGAACTGTGCGAATAGGAAGTCTATTTTGTGTGGTGACGAGGTTGAGGTCTCGGTGAACAGCCGTGTATGCCCTAGTTGGAAGAAGGAGAAAGAGATTGTCGAGGTGACGACGATTAAGAAACTTACGAAGAAGGAGGTATATGAGTCGTACTCGCAGTTTAGTTCGATTAATCGGTTTGAGGCTTTAGCTGACTATGAGAATGCTTTCCCTGTTTTGGGTAAGGGTGCGTCAAATATTATTAATGAAGATATGGAGGTTAACAAGCGTTTAGTTAAGATAAGATATAATACGGTTGTTATAAGATCTGGGCGATCAGATAGAGTTTTGTATCCCAGAACACCAAAAGTTCTCGCGTGGGAAAAAACTGGGTGGTCAAAAGTGTCGGAGATTGACAAGATTATCAATGCACTATGCAACAGATTTCGTTTTAACAAAGATGATCCGCTCATCTCGGTTATTGCTGCACTGAAGTATAATGATGGAGAGGGTGAAGCCATCGATGAGAGAATGGACAGGGTGAGAAATAATAATATTACTTGTGGTGAAAGTTCTGCGATATAACTGCCAGAGTCTTAAAACTAATAAAAGTTATATTGACAGCTTCATTATACATAATCAGATAGATATTGATGCACTACAAGAGATTACATGTAATTTGACAATTTGTTGTGTGTAGATTTCAAAGTTGTTTGTATTCTTGAATGCTCACGAAAATGTTCTGTTGTTGGGGGACTTTAACGCGAGAATGATTAGGTGGGGTGATACTGTGGACTCCCTAAAGGGGAGAGTGTTGGGTGAACTTCTTGGGTGTTCTCAAATGCGTTGTTTGAATGATGGGTCCAAGACGTATTTTAGGCACTCAGTGTTGACGGGTGGCGGACACAGCAGTGTCCTTGATCTTACTTTTGCGAATATTCCGGCTGGTGTAGGGTGGATGTGCAAAGCGATGTATGTCGGTGGGAGCCATCACTGTCCCATTATTGTAGATGTAGGTGGTAGCTCAAAGCAGCCTTTTCATTTTGTATCTAAACATTTATTGAACAGGGAACTAGGAAAAATCAATGGTGTTAGCAACATTCAGGGGTTGACTGAGTCCTTTGCTGAAGCCAGGCAAATAAATAAATAAATTTAAACACTCTCCCAAATCTTGGTGGAATGATGCACTGGCCAAAGAATACAGACTTCTTAATGCAGCGCGGTGTAAAGCAAGAAGGACTAACAAAATTGAAGACATTGAGAAAGCTTGTAGGTTGTTGGAGAGGTGGAAAGTACTGGTCAAGGAGGCGAAAAAAGCAAACTTCCTTGACGCTGTTGAGGAACTGAGTGCGCAACCAAACACGAGAAGGGCCTGGTTCTTCATCAATAATGTAAAAAATATGAACAGGAATTCGGTGTCGGAGTGGCATACTTAAATTTTCTTAGTAATCAGGTAGTCAATGTTAACTCCCCTTCACTTGATGTCATGGTGGTCAGTTTACAATCTGCATCTGGTTTGCAAGCTTTGTATTGTGGCGGGGTTTTTCCACAGCTTTCGGTGTATATCTCTAAGAAAAAATCGTCGGCTGGTGGATACGATAAAATCGCGTATAGAATGTTGAAGGCGATTCCTGAAGGAGCATGGGCGTCTGTTGTTTGGTTGTTGCAGTTTCATTTTGATGAGAACCAAATTGAAGACTCGTGGCGTTGAATAAGGATTGTCCCGATTCCGAAGGGTAATGCCAGTGTAGATGAGATTGAAAATTTCAGACCCATCTCTTTAATTTCTGTTATGATAAAAAGCATTAACATGGTGGTCAAGGAGGTGCTCACTGAATACCTGGAATCAAATCAGAATATTCCTTCTAGATGTTTTGCCTATAGGACGAATAAGTCAATGGCTACGTGTTTAAATGAATGTTTGCAGGTCATTGGTAGTGAAAAGTATAAGAGGAAGGTTTTTGTCTGTGCTCTCGATCTCTCTAATGCGTATAATTGTGTGGATATTGTCAAGTTAATCAAATTGCTCAATGAATATGGTGTTCATCCAAAAATCTATATTTGGATGTACAACTTTCTACATAGGAGGACTCTGATTTTGGGAAAGAGTGAAATTGTGGTGGAGAATGGGTTGCCTCAGGAGAGTTGCCTATCTCCAAGCACTCACATCTTTCAATTTGCGGATGATTTTCTGCTTGTCTCCACCTGCAGAACGACTGCAGGAGCCCTTAAAAATTTACAAGAGAAGCTTGTTTAGTTCAATAGTGCGTGTTTTGGCCTATGTTTAAAAATTAACATTGTAAAAACAAAGTTTATGTACATGGTGAGGGGCTGTAGAAACTCTTTTTCCTTAAGGCTGGAGAAGGGTAATATGGATCAGGGGAGACAGTTGAAATTTCTTGGAAGGATTGTTTGTGCTTCTGGTGCATTGAGGGACCACGTTATAAAAATCAGGAAGGAAATTGTTCCGGCGACCAACCTAATAAAGCGCCTTACCTCTATTAAGGCTGGTCTGGCACCTTAATGTTAAAAAAAAAAAAACAGCATGTGTTGCGGCGAATTGCGGGTGAAACTCGTCTTTGTTCCAAATTAAAAGCGTTTGATAAACATTAAATTCAATTGTCTTTATTCACTAACAATAGCGCTAAATTTGTACAATAATTACTGCGGGTAAAGCGTTAGATAAACTACGAAATATTAAGCGGGTGAACTTCGCGGAGATTGCGGAAAAACGATGCTTAGCGAGCGGGTATTAACAACGAGTGATTATAAATGTGCAAAAATGTACAAACCAAAAAGGGCATAACAAAAAGAACGTCAAAGTCGTTAACCCGTATGCGCTTACATTGCTGACATTAACCATTATGTGATCATACAACTAATAAACTTGAGAAAATGCATACATGAACTCAACATACCGCCGCGCTTGAACTATCTTGATACGTTCAATATAAAAGTTACAAATGCATAAACAATTTAATACTGGCAGAAATTCAAATTAAAATTATAGATAAGTTACTATATACTAGACTTCTTCATGAAATATATCTCCTTACGTTGGTAAGAGGCAGAGCTTAATTATGGGCCGAATTAGTTCGCCTTGCGGTGTCTTCAACGTAACCACTATTACGCGCCCATCACTGTTGCCAGCGTCCACTTCGTCGGAGGGGTAGGCTCGTTGCAGACCGCAACCACATCACCTTCTTCGATGTTGCGCGAGGAACGAAACCACTTGGTGCGACGCTGTAGACTGACGAGATACTCGTCTCTCCAACGTCGCCAGAAATGTCGCCTCATGGCAGGAATAGTTTGCCACCGCTGACGAAGATTTCCACAGAACCCTTGACCCTCAGGTTCTGGGATTGGCTTCAGTGGTTCGCCAATAACAAAATGACCAGGAGTTAGGTCCTCTAAGTCATCAGCAGCTGCAGAGTTGTCACAGAGCGGGCGGGAGTTTACGCAGGCCTCTACTTCTGTCAACAGCGTGTTGAACTCTTCATAGGACAGTAGAGTTGCACCCAGTACGCGTTTCAGGTGATACTTAATGCGCTTGACGCCTGTTTCCCAGTATCCACCCATATGAGGTGCAGACGGAGGGTTGAAACGCCACTCGATGTTTGAGTCGGCAAAGAACGAACGTAGTTTAGCATCTTCCATGCACCGCTGGAATGCAATTCGAAGTTCTTTCTCAGCGCCGACGAAATTCGTGCCGTTGTCAGACGACATGACTCTGCAGTAGCCCCGGCGGCTTATGAATCTTTTGAGCGCATTCAGAAACGCTGGTGTTGACAGGTCTCCAACAAACTCCAAGTGCATGGCACCAGTGCACATGCATACAAATGAGCAAATGTAGCCCTTGGTCGCCTTCGCTCCTCTACCATGGGTGAACTTATATAAGTAAGGTCCAGCGAAGTCGACAGCGGTGCGGGTAAAGCAACGAGCGTAGGTGGTACGAGTTGCAGGTAAATCTCCCATAGATTGTGTGGCGAGATTGCGGTTTAAACGGGTGCATTTCACGCATTTATGATATATGCTACGTATAAGGCTGCGAGCACCAATAAGCCAGTATCGGCGTTGCAAGACGGTCTGCATAATGCGGGGTCCAGAGTGTAACGTGAACTCGTGAATATCGTGGACGATTAATTTTGCAAGCGGAGAGTTTTTTGGCAGGATGACTGGGTGCCTTACATCAGGCGTAACTGCAGCATGCTTCAAACGACCTCCAACACGCAAGACGTTTTTCTCATCGAGGTATGGCTGCAAGCGCAAAAGACTGCTGCGAAGCGGGATTGGCCTTTTTGCGCTGCAAAGAGAGATTTCGTTAGAAAAATAGAATGATTGGGTATACCTGATCAGGCGCAGTTCAGCTTCGGATAACTCTTGACAACTCGGAGGACCGAATCGCCTAGCAGCATTGAGCCGAGTATTCACTCGAGCGTTGACAAAGAACCTTAGCACGTAAGCGATGACACGGCGCAGTTTGGAAAACGACGAATACTTCAGCATTATAGGCCAGTGCTCGTTTGAGCTCGTAACATGAGCAACGACTTTGCTTCGAACGCCTATCTCGGTTGTGTGCTGTTTAGACGAGGTTTGTTTCCAGAACTGGTCAGTGCTCTTCAAGAATTCGGGGCCCGTCCACCACAGTTGTTGATGCTGCAGCTCAGATGGAGTTATACCTCTCGAGGCACAATCGGCTGGATTCAGTTCCGAGCGGACATGGTTCCAACACTCAGGAGGAAGAATTTCCTGAATGTCAGCGACCCGATTGGCGATGAACGTCAGCCATTTGCTAGGATGCGCTTGTATCCACGCCAACGTGATTGTGGAGTCCGTCCAGGCATACAGCGGATAGCGGAGATCGTCCCAACTGTGTAACACGCTTTGCACCAACTTAGCAGCGAGATGCGCAGCGCATAGTTCTAGACGGGGCAGCGTTGTTGTTTTAAGCGGCGCTACTTTGGACTTCGACGAGATCAGCGCAACAGTGACCCGGCCGTCGGGTTGCAAGGTGCGCGCGTACATAACGGCGGCGTAAGCTCGTTCGGACGCGTCAGCAAAGATATGCAGCTCAGTGAATGATCCAGTTGCACCTGAGCCAATCCAGCGAGTTACCTTCAAGTTCGAAAGAAGTTGCAGCTCCGAGCGATGTTCCAACCACTTCATTGCAGTAGAGTCAGGAATGACGTCATCCCAACCAACATTGTTACGCCAAATCTCCTGGAACCACATTTTCGATCTTATCGTCGCTGGAGCGAGCAGTCCCAGAGGATCGAAAAGCGTGCTAGCATCAGATAGAAAGGTTCTCTTCGTTAAAATAGCGGGTGGCTTCTTCAAATTAACCACGAACGTTAGGTAATCCTCTGCTGTATTCCACACTAGACCCAAAGCATGGACATCCTCACCGTCGACTAAGTAGTGAGATATTGTTTTCGATGCATTTGATATTTTTTCGCAAAGTTCCGCACAATTCGATGCCCACTTTCGAAGCTCGAAGCCACCTTCTTTCAGGATTTCGGAGACATTTTGCTGTAAAAGTAGCAGCTCTTCTTTGGACGATGTACCAGTGATGAGATCGTCCATGTAAAAGTCTTTGTGGATGACAGCAGAAGCTTTCTCACAAATGTGCGAATATTTTGCGGTTTGTTGTAGCGATCTCACAGCTAGATGAGACGCGGCTGCCACGCCGTAAGTTACGCGCAGCATACGATAGTCTTGTATGGGTAAACTCGGATCTCGACGCCATACAATTCGCTGTAGATCAATGTGCTTCGGTGCTACGCATATTTGGCGGTACATTTTCGCAATGTCCGCGGTCAGTGCATAGCGATGCGTTCTAAAACGCGTTAAAATTGAAAATAAGTCCTGCTGCAGTTGAGGACCGACAAATAATGCGTCGTTCAGCGAATTTCCGGTGGCAGTTTTAGCCGACGCGTTGAAAACGACCCTCAGCTTAGTGGTAACGCTCGAATCCTTTACAACAGGGTGATGCGGCATGTAAAACATTTGATTCGTTGATTCTGGTGCGAGCTCCATATGATTCATGTCGAGAAGTTCCTGCATGAACTCATTGTAGCGTAGCCGCAGGTCGTCGTCCCGAGCAAGGCGCCTCTCGATGCGTAGTAGGCTTTGGACAGCATAACTTCGCGAATCGCCCAGAAGTACGTCGGTCTTCAGCGGCAGTTCAACTACAAAGCGACCGTCAGGTGCTCTTTGGTGCGTTGTTTCGAAGAGTTCTTCGCAGTGACGCTCTTCGTATGTGAGGTGGGTCTTTTGCGGAGCTTCTTCTAACTCCCACAGTCTAGTAAGAGCTCTATCCAACTGGACATCGCAGTGCAGCGACTGTAGGCGAGGTGCAGCAGGTTCTATTCCGTCGACGCTTCCAAATAGCGTCCAACCAAAGACAGTGCGCTGAGTCATCGGCGTACCAGGTGGACCCTTACGGACTTCTGAGCAAAGGAGCTGTTGCATGACGTCCATACCAACCAGAATGTCGATACGCCCGGGTTTCATGAACTGCGGATCGGCTAAGAATAAGCCTTGCACATGCGGCCACGCTAAAACTGACAAAGTCTGTGTGGGCAAGTCGCTTGTAATCTTGGGTAAGATTAACGCGTTGATAGGGAAGCATTCATCTAAACAATAAGACGACAATGAAAGTAATACCTCACCTCTAGAGCGGCCTCCTTGCGACGAACCGATGCCAGTAATGGATACTGCGGACGCTTTTCGTGGTAGACCTAGACGTTGTACACATGCCTCAGTTACGAAGGACGCATGCGAGCCGGAATCAAACAGCAAGCGCGCGGTTTGCCAATGACCACAACAATCGCGGACTTTGACTAGGGCGGTAGCCAATAGCACAGTTCTGTCTTTTGGACGCGGCGGGTTGGAGCTAGCATTCAAATACGAGGATGTCCATGCAGCAGCGGAGCCTGTGGACGAGGCGATAGCGGATGAAGTGTTTGCGTTTGATTGTAGTGCGGCATTCGGTGCGAGAGGGGATGGCGTGACAGGAGACGCATTGTAGACAAAATGAGCGGTGGTTGTGACGTTAGTTGTAGAGGAGGCATTATGCAGCAGCGTGTGATGACGTTGCTGGCAGATCCTGCATGCAGAGGAGCTATTACATTTTGCCTTGTAATGACCGGAGCTTAAGCAGTTCGTACACACGCGCGCTTCTCTGACAAACTTCGATTTCGCGTTTGAGTCCAGGTTGCGAAACTTATCACAACTATATATTTTGTGAGGACCTTTACAATAGGTACAACCTGAGCTGTTTTGTTCCTGCACTGCGTGAAACACATTCGTGGACTTGCTCGCTGAAGTGGTTTTACCCTTGGTGGGTAGTGATGTTGACGACGAAAGCATGGCCAGAGACCGACACCTAACTTCCAAAAACGTGGACAGCTGCTCGAACGACGGAGGCTCATCACTGACGAGTGATAGCTCCCACTGTTTACGCGTCTCGAATGCTAATTTGTTTACTACTTCGTGTACCAACCAATCGTCCCAAAACTCTACTGGTCGACCTAAAGCCTTAAGTTCGCGTATGTGTTGTTGAAATGCGTCGATTACACTTTTTATTGTGTCAGCAGTATCACTAGTAGCCTTTTTAACATCGGCTATAGCTCTGAGATGCCCTTCCACTATTACCCGCATGACCTTATAGCGCGATTTCAAAAGGTCCCAAGCTTCATCGTAATTAGCGTCACATATTTTGAAGCCACTTATAATTTTTAACGCGTCACCTTTCAAACAACTACGGAGATAGTGCAGCTTTTGTCCGTGCGACAATGCGGCATTACTATCCACCAGCGAAGAAAATGCATCAAAAAAACCAATCCATTCTGTGGAGTCACCCGAGAATGTAGGCAGCTCCATTTTGGGCAGACGTATCGATGCAGACACTGGCATTTGAGCGGGCGAGGGGTGTGATTCGGTACGACACTTCTGTACGCGATTAAAATTGGCTAAAGCCGTAGAATACCAAGTCTCGGCTTGAATTCGCACATTTTCTTCGACCTCTGTATTATCACTTCCGCACGAGAGTTCTACCGCGTCATGAGCGGTATTGAAACGAGCCCACTGTTCGTTAAGGAGTTGCAGATAACTTTTAACACTTTCTGCGTCCATTAAAAATGCTTCGTCAGTGCTCTTAGCCATATATCGCTTGATGGCATTGAGCGCAGAATCGCGCGTTTTAACGAAGTTCGACATTTTTCGTTTTGCTTTTTACGAGTCGTTCGTAGGTCACATATTTAATATTTGGCACTTGCAAAGGGCAATTGAAGGACGCGTTAGGTTTATAGAGGTTCTTAAGGTTAAAGGAAGGACGACCGCACCAATGTAACAAACGATTTAATGCGCTGAAATCGGCTCTATTTGTTTAAAATCCACGCACGTGATTTTTTTTAGCCTTAAAGTAACTTGCCGTAATTACTTAACTGGGGTTGCACTTTTGTGTTTAGCAGGGATCGCAATTATAGCTCTAGTATTTTGTTTTAGTTCACTTGCGGGTAGCACTCTGTTTTCTTTAGTTTTTATTTGCGGATTATAAACTCAAGACTTTTTCTCGTACGTATGTATGTATGTACGTATATTTAATATTCACACAAACTAGCAAGCGGAATTAGCAAATCCGGCTCGAAGGACCAGCATATGTTGCGGCGAATTGCGGGTGAAACTCGTCTTTGTTCCAAATTAAAAGCGTTTGATAAACATTAAATTCAATTGTCTTTATTCACTAACAATAGCGCTAAATTTGTAAAGCGTTAGATAAACTACGAAATATTAAGCGGGTGAACTTCGCGGAGATTGCGGAAAAACGATGCTTAGCGAGCGGGTATTAACAACGAGTGATTATAAATGTGCAAAAATGTACAAACCAAAAAGGGCATAACAAAAAGAACGTCAAAGTCGTTAACCCGTATGTGCTTACATTGCTGACATTAACCATTATGTGATCATACAACTAATAAACTTGAGAAAATGCATACATGAACTCAACAGGTTGCTTTAAATATTTATAAAACTTTTGTTAGGGCGAAGGCAGAGTGTGGCAGCACTACTTGGGCAAATGCTCCGTGTGGTTATAATAAGAAATTATCGTGCGTTGTTAATGACACCTTAAGGCGGTGTATTAGGGTGCCGCCCAGTGCTCCAATCCACTCCAGGTTTGCACTTGCTGGCGAACTACCTCCTTTGTTTAGGGCGAGATGGTTAACTGTGAAGGAACTAGTAAAGCAATGGTTTAGCAATGCACTTTTTAGACATATGCTTGTAAGCACACCGCAAATCGATACCAGCTATAGCGCTATGTACTAAATGTCAATTTTAAGAGGCATGCTAGCCTGACTTTTCAGAAGCATAGTATTGCCGGATCTAAACGGAACTACTCTAGATCTCAGCTTATTGCAATGTACAATGAAATTAAGAGTTCATTGATTGAAGAAGGTTTTTATGTGTACTCTACAGATGCTTCGTACGACAGCGATAGGGTTCGTTGTGGAGTTTACGATTTGTATAGCAATGTTTCTTATCTGTATAGATTAGATGAGAAATATGCATCGATTACTGGTGAGCTTGTTGCAATTAGACAGGCGGTGGTTATGTTCGGCAAGCAAAAAAGAGCTAAAGCGGCAATATTCTCGGATAGTTTATCGGCCCTGGGAGAATTAGACAAGAAGTTCACAAATAATTGTGTTGTTTCGGAAATACATAATCTGTTGTATGCACAGCAGGAGACGTTGAGGGAAGTTAGATTTATATGGGTTCCAGGTCATATGGGTATTCAATTTAATGAGAGGGCTGACCTAGCTGGCAAAACGGCTGCCTCTGTTGGTCAAGGCTTATCGATTGGTCTAACTCCATATGAAGCTCTTCTTAGCCATCAGTGTCTTATCTTGGGGGAATGGGATATGGAATTTAAAGAGTCAAATTGCACAGTAGGTCGGAAGTTCGCTGAATACTCTCCTGACATTATAAGGAAACCATGGTTTAAAGACAGTAAAGTAAATATGAATAGTATGGAGATTAAGCTTATGGTTGGACACACATATTGCAATTACTAGTTATATCAGCAAATTCAATCCTGGCCGCTCCGGTCACTGCTCAATTTGTGATGTTCCTGACACAGCGGAACACATTATTTTTGAATGTCAGGCACTTGAGTCCGCAAGAAATGAGTTTGAAATTTTTACTAAATTCAGTGGCTTAGTGGAATTGCTGAAGTCAAAAAATTTGAAGTATTATAGTCAACTTATTAAGNTTCTTTTTTTTTTTCTCTCTCTATTGTATGTATAAAGCCGATTGGCGTTAAATAAATAAATAAATAAATAAATATATATATATACATAAGGTGTTTTCGTAATTATAATAGAAGATGCTTTATATAACATGTACATATAGGGGGGAAAAAAAAAATTAAATAAAAATTCTGACATATGTTAGTTGTAGAATATGTGACTTAAATGGGCATTCATATAGTTAACTGTTAAGTAGATGCGGATGCATAAGATTATATACAAATACAGACATTTAGTACAAAGTTAGTAATAATTTTAACCCAAAGGATGTGTAAGCTTGACACTGAACATATGTACATATTTATGTGAGTTATTAATAGTTATATATTAATATAACAACATGTACAAAATTGTAGGTTTAAGTCATGGTGATTTTATAACCAGTCCACTGCATTTTCAATTAGTTTTGTGAATTTCATTTGTACAAAAGCTCGAAAGTTTTTTGTTTCGAATTATAAATTACACCTCATCTTGAGGTCTGGCTACCCCACGGATTGACACACGGAAACCTCGACATTGCCGGGTTGCGGATAAGGGCGTTTTTATTGTCACTGTCAACTCTATCGGCTGAAAATTACTAAAAGTCGTACTATTGGAACATTAATCTGAAGGAGAACCTGGCGGTTTAGGGACAATATGCACGTCCTTCCAATTCAAGTGCTACTGGAGTGGCGTCTACATATCCAAAAAAAAAAAAAAGAATGTATTTCCAGTAAAAACTTGCAAGTATGTACTACTAACAATTCATAAAATTTCTTTGATATTGAATGGACCTAATTTCATCTGCCAAAATCTTTGGTTTGTTTAATTGACAAAAAAGGAAGCTAACAAACAAGGAAAAGTTCCGTTATTTTCTATTTAAAAATTTTATTATACATATATACTCGTAAAAATATTTCGGCTGTTGTTTTCCAATTGTGAAGTTTAGCGCTAAACCGGTTTTTGGTGGTTGAAAAATTCAATGTAAATTTTACCGAAAGAGGAAGAATCTTTGCGTTCGTTTTTAGCGAAATCTGTTCAACAGTTTCCATGCGTTGCGAGCTGATCAGCGAGATTCATTCCGCCTCAATATCAGCAACAAAATCATATTGTGTGAAGCAATATTTTCACATGGAGAATTATCACGTTTTAATTATTGTCCAACAACATCTGGTGACGCACAGCGTTCATTTTCAATACATATAAGTACACATCGGAAGTTTATGAAATTGCATATTTTTGTTTAGCATCCAAGAGGTCCTGGACCAATACTGAAAATCGTTGCATTGAAAATTAAGAAGATTTATGCCCATGCGTATTTAAATTTTTGCATATTTGAATACCTTTTGCATATTTGCATATTTTTTGTATATCTGCTTATATTTTGCAGATTCTTGCATATTTCTCATAAGAATATTTTTCATAAGAATATTTTTAATAAAGAATGAAATTTAACCCGTTTCCTGGTGACCTATTAATCTGAAATTTCGTACTCATTTTTAGTTCTGATTACAATACAATCACTCTCATTCAGTATCATTGCAAATCCAAGATGACCGCCGCCACAAAATGGCGGATTACATATTTACCCCAATCTCCCCAATATGGATATCAAATGAAAGAGTTTGACAAGTAGAACACAGCGCATTTTATAAAAAAAATTCCTTATTATCCTTTAGGCCTAAAAATATTAATACTGAAATTTGGGTATTTAATCAAAACAACTTAGAATCGTGATTTAAGCGTTAATACCTACCCAAGTTAAGACTTCGTATCGTGTCGAGGACTGTGGGGCGTTAGCGGGCTAAAAATTATATAAATGTAGTTAGCGTTTCCCACTCAAGTGAACTAAAGATAATGAGAAATTTTATGTAACTAAATAAAGAACTAAAAACTTTAAAAGAAAATAAGAAAAAAAACGTTTAATTTAATAAAGGTGATTGAGCTTTGTAGTACGATTTGCGTTTAGGAAGAAATGGCAATTGCAACCATGTCAAAACAGTAAAAGTCATAGCTGCTTTTTTGGAGATCACCACTCTCCTCTTCAGACTTCTTTCTCTAGACTTCAGCAAGAATAGAAACTGCATCAACGATATACAAAGCCAGCAGCGCTAACAACTGAGCTATGCACACCTCGAAAGCTCTTGTTGCTTATCCATTTCCTCATGCAACCTACTTCTATAAAAAGTTTTCACCAAAACCAGATGGGGAAAAATGCGCATGGCGCAGTTCAAGGCCCTCACATTTTCCGATCTCTTATCAAAGGTTATTTTGTTGAAGTCTCAGACAGGATCGAAAAATTGTATACAAAGCAAATGCGGCTAAACGGGTCAATAAAAAGTATTTTAGACTGTGAAGGATCCCTTGAAAACATCCCCGGAGACTATGACAAAACTATAAGAGAGAAACTGTCTGAAGATCACTCTATTTCAATATCATTGCATCAACAATTATTGAAGAAATTAATTTTTGCTCCAACAATTGGGGATTTCATATTTTATTCTTTTTTTTACCATATATAAAATATTTTCAAACTAAATCCTTCTTCAACCTCATTTGCCTGACCCAGAGTGTGATATATATGCATTTCAATAAACTAAATGTCTTAATTTAAGTTAAATTTTAATTTTTAAACAGGTGGCCACGCTTATATATTTAGTTATAAATGACACCTTTTTAAGGCCATTTCGATTGATAGTTATATTTGTAATAATTCGTTTACCCTATTGAATAATTTGAATTGAATTTAAGTTTCAAACAGGTGGCTTAAGCCACTTCAAACCCTTCAAAAATAATCTTAATGTCCAGCCTAAAGATTTCTTAACACTATTTTGTTTGACACCCATATTTTAATATTTCATATAACTTGTGCATGATTAAATTAAATTCTGCTTTTTAAACAAATGCCAATTCCCTTTAAAATGTTTTCAAACT